CATGTCTAATAATGTAGAAACAATGCTTTCTAAATGATGTATTTGTGGCCCTCACAGGTTTTCCACAGAGTTTTGAATAAAGTTCTAGCTTTTTGACAGGCTGTTTAGATTAGCATTGAAGACACTGACACAAAATGCCTCATGTAAACATTCCACCCCCATTTTAAAACCCTAATCACTTAAACAACATGATTATATGTCAATTGATTCCTGTGGCAGTTAGTCAAAACTAAGTTGGTGCAATTGCAGTATGATGGCCACATGAGGGCGCGGGCGCTCTCGAGTGTAGCATCATACAGGTAGTGACTGTTTTTCGGGCACAGAAGAAGTCAGAGGTGAGAGGTTATGACAACCAGTGTGTCGCGAAAGTACTGAACCGTCACTGATATTGTATCTGTATTTCTGCACAGGTATGTATTGTCGGATGAAAGAGTCAATAAGTTGGCTAAAACAGTGTTGTGATGTGAGAGAAAGGGGAAATATTAATGTATGGGGGCGGAGGGAATGAAAGATCGGGGAATGAAAGATCGGCGCTAATGTTAGCATGCTAGCTGCTAACGTCCGCGACTTTAAATGGCCTTCTGTGTAATTGTTGTGCAGTGCTGAGTGCTGGTGTTGAACTCTAGCAGTCTGTGGGGATGTTTTTTGGAGATTCAGTGTGTTATGAAATGAAATGAATGAAAGACACAATACATCGGGTCGGTCAGACAGCCAAGGGAGACCTGTAGTGTTATGTAGATGGTAGGTTTCTGTTGGATTAGGAGGAAATGTTATCTCAGGTCCGTCTATGTTATGTTGTGTGTCATATTCCAGTATTTGAAACACAAGAAGATAGAGGTCAGAGGTTATGACAACCAGTGTGTCGCGAAAGTACTGAACGGTCACTAATGTTGTATCTGTATTTCTGCACAGGATGTCATATGAAGAAACACAATAAATGTGCTGCACCTTGAAGGCGTTGTTCTTTTAAGAAGTGTAACATATTCACTAGTTACTTATACTTAACTAATGCTCATAGTGTGTAGTTATTATAAAGTGCTACCCAGTTTCTCTGTACACATTGGTTAATCATGAACAAATGATTAGTAAATGATCAGTATAGCATTTGTTGATGATTGATCACTTGTAAGTGTGGTACACAACATGGTGCAAAGAATGGGCAATCACATTTGTGTTATTTAATTGTTTGAGCTGAACATTACTTTTTTCAATTTTTTTTTGGGGGGGGGTAGGTCTTTTTCTAACACTTAATAACTTGGGGGACTGTTGTGTAATTTTATTGTTTATGTGTTATGCAAAGGAGCATGGTCATATAAAGCGGCATTCAGATGGAACTTTTGTCACAGGAACAGTTGTGCCTGGTAGGTAGGAAATACTATTATTGTCAAATTTTTCTCTGAAATGATTTGTATTTCTCTGAGTGAATGTTATATTTGAATTAAGTGTGTAAGTACACAGTCTCATCAGACTGAAAGTTTTAAAAATACAGTTGACTATTGCTGTAATTTTCACTTTATTGCTAGAGTGGCCTTGATTCACTTTGTGTAAAAGAGCGTACTAAAATGCTGTGCACTAGAATTTAAATTGTTGGATAAATAGACTTTGGATGCACACAAGTCACAAGCATGGAATGAAACTGGTGCAGGGAAATGTTATGTTTTTTTATGTTGTTGTGAATTAAATGACACGCAACCTGGATTATAAACCTTGTGTCCTCATATAGGTCCCACAACATAAATTAGCCTATTACACTTTAGATTCGGGAATGCAGAAAGGTTTGTAAATGACTTGTATACACTTACACATAATTCATAACAGGTAAGGAAGATCTACAAATGATATATGTAACATAGTTACAGGTAATTAATAGTTTACACTTTAGATTAGGGGATGCAGAAAGGTTTATAAATGATTTTTCCATATGTTTACACATTATTTATAACAGGTGAGGAACACTTTGTGGTTTGTTCTGCAGTGCTTCTATGTGTTGGCTGCTTCTGCATCCTTGGGGAGTGTATAGACAGCTGTCTTCTCTGACACATGGAGCCTTCTAGTCACTTGCAGGAGCAAGATACAGCGTTACAGAGGGAAGACACGCCAACGGACACAGCCCAAGGCTCAATAGATGAAGACAATGACGAAAAAAAGGTCAGAGGAATTCAGTGTTGTGGAGGTATTTGGCTATTAAAGTCCGACAAGATTGATAGTTAACAATCTATTACTATTAGAAAGTAACAAAGTAAATACCAAACAAAAATATTTAAATGTTGAAGTAACATCATTACATAAAATTCATATTCAATAGGGAGCGCTCAACCATTACAATAATAAATGAGCGAAGAGCCAGAAAAAGAAGTTTATACTGTCCCGTCATTGATACTGACCTTTTTATACATTGGTTAAGTAGAGTGTCTTTCACAATGTAGGGGATTTAGTGAAACAACACTGATACATACATGTATAAGGATAGATACATAGCATTTTCTTATGAAGATGATATTGTTGAAAAGAATTTCAATATGAAAGTTGTTTGGATAAAAAGAAATGGTCAAAAAACAGGTGCTCCTTTGCAAATGTCCCCATTGTGGTACTAATAAAGGACTTGTTATTCTTATTCAGATGCAGTAGATTGTGTTTATTAAAGGGTATTAGTGGTAAAGCACTGTGTCTACAGCTGAACTTACTGTTTTAATTCCATGGTAAATCCTTGCAGCCTGTGGGACGACAGAGACACAGTGAAATAAAAAATGAAATGAATCCTTCATGCAGCTGCAGACAGCTGGAGCCTTGCTCTGCTATCATGACTGAGGGAGATCCTCAATCAAAATATGATGATGATTTTTCAGTCAATGACAATGATCAAAGATGAGAATTAACCTTTCAAAAACAGAAAAGTCAGCACCTCTTGTCTCTATAGGAAGAATGGCTGCTGTTTCATGGGCACCCCATAGTCACATTAATTTAAAATGTTTGCATGGTGCTATCCTTATACACCAGTAATCACAAAATAAATAGTCAAGGTCTGGGGTAAACTCTTTATGCCCACATCTACAATGGACCTACAACCAGAAATGGGCACTATTTATGATATTTAAAATACAAATTTGAAATACAAAATAGTGTGTTGTAATTTGTATTTCATGAAAATGGATTCATATTTTGTATCAAAATGCTGAAGCGTTTTGTAGTTTATAAAATAGTGTAAAATACTTTCTCTGAAATGTCTAAGTAATGACATCATAAACTGAAAATCGATGCATGCAGCCTTCGATTGGTGTCTACTCAGCAAGCACAAGATGAGAAATATGTTGGTTGCCAGCTTTCCATAAATTTTTTATATAAATTGCTACAATTCTTTACAGTTCCTGGTTTTGGTGGGGTTTTCTGTCATTAAACACATGTACCCCACATCCCCTCCCAACTTCAAACCTAAGTGCAATGCCTGAGGGAATATCACATTCTTGGAATGGTATAGTAAGGTGCCCCCCCACACTGACTCTTTCTCTTCTCTCCCCTCTTTTCCAC